CGCTCTTCCTAGCTCCTTCACCGAATCCCATATCCCCATCGCCTTTATCCCCGACCTCATCGCTTGCCCTATCTGGATTAAAGAAAACGCTTCAAATCATTCTTTCATTCGTCCTTCATCATCTCATTTGCCAGAAGGTTTTCAGAGAAGTACTTACCAGGAGGATCGCCCACCCCGTTGGCAAGAAAGCAAGAACCGAAGCAAAGAGATCTGCCAATGTCAGCTCAAACACTACAAATAACACAGTCATTACTGACATGAAGCCTAGGAAGAGAAGCGCCTTTACTATCCTCGACATTAGTTGAAAATCCGTTCCAAATCTCCTTCTACCCATCGAAACCATCTATAGCATCAAAACAGGTAATTTCAGCAAAGGGTTGTTAACAACAACATATCGGGAAACGAAGAAAATTTCCAACCTTTAGGACAAGCATTGCTGTCAGCAAGACAACCCAAGAAAGTCCATAAACCTACAAGAAAGTTAGAAGGATGTGAAGTGAAGGCCTATATGAACCACCTGAGGGATCATGCCAGAAATCAGACACAGATAAGAAAGAAGCAACAAAGATTCCAAGAAGGGCCTATGACCAATACCAAAAAGCTCTTGCTGCGGTGAGAAATCTTGAGCTGGTAAACAATCCCGTACTGGTAGATGAAAAAGCGTAGTGCGAGGACGATTTCCACAATCCTCCCCCTTAAATTCGTGTACATGAGGTGTTCTTGTTCTGCATGCCACCATGACTCCCAGCTTTTATCCGTGGGGATGCCTATACCTCCACGATCTCCCATCCATCTTTTCCAATCAGTCCAATCATCGACTGTCTTTTGCCATTCAAAACCAGACGGATTGAATATGAACGGAGCAAACAACCATGAGGACACCAGAAACCACATTGATATGGTTATGTAGAGATAAAGGCTTGAACTTCGGTATGAACTTCCATAGACATGATAAACCACCAACAGTACCAGTAACTCCAGTCCCTTCACAAAGTGACTTCTCGAGTACAGCCTGTAGTTTTCTGCAAACTTAGCATGAAAAACAACAAATCCCCGCCCAGTAGGTCGATATTTAGAACCACCGTGCAAAATAGTCCTTCCATAGTAATGAGACTTTGTCCCCAGCTGGAATGTGAAAAAGACAGATGCGAGCTGCAGCTGCATTATGATAAAATCACCAATAGCAGCACGAAACCCTTTCTCCAAACCGATTTCCATTATCATCGGTAGCACCATTATGAAACCCAGCTGAAATATTGACTGGGTAGCAAGAGCCTCCTCAAGGGCTGTGATCTGATACTTGCTTGCAATCTGGATGATATCCTTTTCCAATCCACTCATAACCATGTACATACGCCCATATAAGAATGCGTACACAGTAAGGACGGTAAGCTGAAACAAGCACATGGCAAAATCTGTAACCAAATATATACCACTCGGCACTGCTAGCTAAAATGGAAACAATGGCATTTGGTGCATGAAAAATATCAGACATCAATAAGGAAAACGGCGTTATAGACATGGTGCCACAAACAGGACAAATCAGATACCAAAAATCCTTTAAACCAGCAAAACCAAAGGAAAATTTGGGAGATTTCTGGAGGAGCTTACCATGCTACTGAAGTAGAATCCAACAGTTGTAAAATAGAAAGAGAGCATTCTGTAAAAGTCAAACCGATGCCCCAGTCTGTAAACATCACGACTTAGTGTCTGCTCCCCATTTCCATTCGCTACTTTTGCTTCAAAAATTGAGATGGGATTCATCCCCACATCCCGACCCTTTCCAACTTGAATGTACTCATGATGAGTAACATATCCCCCCCGAAGAGTTGAATTGAATCCTAGACATCACCAAGACAATTCATAGCCGTTTTAGCGAACCATCGAACCTCTATGATTGAGGCTCCATATATAGAGAATTAATAATTAGTTACCTGCGAAAATATCTTCACTCAAATTTATTATTTTCGAAGCCTTGCTCACGCCACCTCTTGTTATGTGAAAGATTCTGTCAAATATATCAGGATGACCATAATGAAAACGAACCCTGCAATGATAGAACATAAACAAAAGAAATGAGTGAGGATGAAAGAAACAGCACATTGGCCATCTGAAAGGTAAATACAAGATGAACCAACAAGATTTGTGTGAGACATTTTTTTTCTCTTTGCAACTGCATGGCTCTATGTCAACTTTGACACATTTGTCAAAAGTTCTTTCCCAAGAAGAAAAGCAGAGGAAGGGGGAAACAAAAGAGAATAGGAAAAGAGTATACCGCAGAGGATTTGCCAAAATTCTTTGGCCGATTGTCACAAAACTAGTCTCCTGATTGGACATGAACCAAGCTAGCGATGAAACACTACACACCATGAAAAAGAGAGAAATGAGAACAGGCCAATACGATGTATGAAATAAATATAGAGCTTCCTTCTTGTATGATGTATGAAACTATGTGTTGCAGGTGCACCTTCCAGTAAATATATGCTCCCGGAGTCCCAGAATTGTTGGTTTGCGCCTGCCTAGACGTTCTTTTTTGAATTCCTCTAATACATTTCTTAGCTTGAAAGCTTCTTCAAAGTAATTGTCCTGAAAAAAAGAACTACCATGAGCACACTGACGTGCAATGTAAGGTTATAACACCCAACGTCAATATCGTCTTAATCCCAAGAATGTAAGGTAATAAGAAGTAAAAAAAATACCTACTTGATTCATGTCTATAGTTTGGAGTGCTTCACCACGGGTAAAAATAATAGCATGGTTTTGGTTCTCAGGCTTTCCTTCACCAATTTCAGCTGGAGGACCAGGAAGCTTGATTCGGTAAATTTCCTAAAGGTGCAAGAGGGAAATTGGCATGTACACGCATCTTATTAGCATAAAAACTGGTGTCTTTCAAACTGAAACAACATAAGCCCAAACCACAAGATTGCAAGAAGAATAGCATGCAAATAAAAAAAAGCAGAAACATGTAGATAGGAGTGTGAAGGATTAGAAAAGGATAAATGAAGCGTATTATATGACAAGTCACGTACACTCCAGCAATTATTGATATAATTTGAAATGATTCACACCTTGGATCCATCTTTATCATGTAAACATCATCACTTCTTTATATAATTTCAAATAATTAACCTTTGCATGTTCTGAAGATATTTTGGAGAACTATAAGCAAAGGAATAGCAAAGATAGACATACGTGTTTCATTAAAAATCAACCAAATAACTTTGGGAACTGCCTTCCACATGCCCACTGGAAATAAATTACATACCTCATCAAACTTGTTGCCTCCCTTGAGAAGTACGGAGTAATAAACCTTGTGAGATCTTCCTTCCACTTTCTCCTCCCTCTCGTCCACATAAGCAACCCGTAATGATGGGTACCTACATGATTTGACAGAACTGATTCAAATGGATTGTAAATTTTTTAATAGAAAACATTTGAGAAATTTCTTATTACTTCAGCATGAGTTGTAGAATATTGGTGTAGCAACTACGGTCGTGAAGATCACTTGATTTTTTCTGATTGCCATAAACCTGGCAAGAGACTACATAAGTGAACTTCATATCTGCAAGGGCTTTAGCACGATCGAGGAAAGCCTTTTGATCCTCATCATTAGATGTCCTGGCTCGGTAGACACTGAAATTGGCTACAAGAGAGAACAAACAGTACTAAAAGTCCTTCCAATCTAGTTCAAAATGCATCAATAGGTGTTCATATGCTATTGCCTACGGGTTCACAAACCTTTTTCCTCTGCAACTTCCTGGTAACATTGAAGCTCCAGAGCTTGTCTGTAGTACATCATCCCCCTAACTGGCAGATATAAATGCAAGAGACTCTACTGATCACGATGCATATAGACAGGCTCATACTTAAAGACCACGCAGTCTTGTCTATCAGCATCCGTACCTGTTCTCACTAATGTCTGCCCTCTGTAAGAAACCCACTGACGAAGAAGCTCTGATTTGTCTTTCTCAGAAAGCTCAAATTTCGGATCATTAGTGCGATCCAAAAAGTTAGTCCACTCATCTAGTTTTCAGAAATTAAATCAGAAAACTTGAGCTTATAAAAAAAAAAAGGAGTGAACTGATGCGGCAAGATTCTAGAACTTACCGGGATATATTTTTTGTAGATAAAACAATATTGATATCCCATCTTCATTTTCCTTGTTAAGGTCTTCCTCAGAATAAAGAACATCTTCTTTGTAGTAAGGAGTCAAAACACTGAACACGAACAAAAAGCAGCCTTTACTCAAGATAAAAAAGGGATAATCAATCGCAGTGATACTAATGGTTAAAGGTTTCCATCCACTAACTAGAAGATGTGATTTTTCATAGACTGCATTCCAATGTCATCCATCCCATTTTCTTGCATTAAATGCAGAGCATTGCTTTGAGTTTGAGGTATGTTACTACTAATTTTGTTTTATTATGAAGAATGACTTCCTTTTATATTTCACACATACTTCAGATGTATGTTCAAAAAATATGATATGGTAATGCAAATAGGCATATTCACTGAAATCCTTCGTCTAATTTTCCAATAAACTGACTATGCACCTTCCTTAACAGATATAAATCACCTGAAGGAGAACATGTCCCGTACTCTTGGAGCATTAGGCATATTCATAAACAGAGAATTGGCAAAGAACGTGATACGGCGGCGAGCTTCCAAGTTCTGAGGCACACTTATTGCAGATTCTTTGACAGCGAGAAGCAAATGAAGCCGAACAACCTACGAAGAAGTGCCACTTATCACAGGTAATAAATTATAGACAGTAATTCAGATGAAAGATTATTAGTTGCTTAAAAAGAAGGTACCTTCTCTCTCCAAGATTTGTTACCTATGAGGTGAATGTTGATTTTTTCAAACCTCTGCTCCTTTTTCTCGTTTTCAATGTCCCGGGAGTGAACACGAGCTCTTTCGAGGATTCTACAATTAGAATGTAACGTGTATAACCTTTGAATTAACACACCTTTACATAAAATTAGAAGAAGAAAAAAACATAGCCATCACATGATGTACTCACTCATGGCCATTGACCATAACATCTTGAGTTATTATTTCGATAACATCCTGGAACACATTAATTAATTGAGACTTGTATGTACCCTCGTCTTCATAGTTGCATAGCTGTTCAGTTATGAGAATATTAGCGCAAAAAGGATTCAAACATTAGTGCTCACCCCTTTCAGGGTTAATTAGTTACTGACTGCAAACCAAACTATGTATATTGATATTACCAACATATTTAAAAACTTCTCCAACTTAACGCTGAGAAGCGGTAGTCCACTCATCCGGAATTCATATATAAATCTCTGTTGCTCTATGCTAGTATCCACTTCGTAAAATACCTGCTTCATGACCCTAAATTCACACATAAATAAGACATAAGTCCTTATAGTACAGGAAGATATGAAATGCAAATTTATGGAAAGAAGATTTTGCCCCCCAAAATCACATAATAAGATAGGGAACTAACTAGCACCTACAGTACATAGGATTAAGTTGGTGTACCTTCTATCAGCCTCATCTTCCAGCAGAGCAAAAATTACGTCCTTCAGTGTCTCATAACTTTCAATAACTGCAGAATGCATGTAACTATCTCCCTTAATCTTTTTAAATAGGTCAGTGTCCTCTTTCCCCCTGAAATCTTTTGCCATGTCCACAGCAATTGGTATCTGCGGCATTAAGTAAGTAAATTGCACCTGATGAACGAATTTGATTTTCATTCCTTAAATGAATGAATTGATTTTTCTCATAGTTCCTTACTATTGGCTTACAAGGATCAAAATAAACACGGAATAGCCGTTAAGCCATTTGAGCTTTTAGTAAGGGGAGAGTCTGTCATTCAGTGATAACTTCTTGTAATGTGACGAAAGATCTTACCGAAACATCTTATCAATGAAACATTATCTGCTAATAGAAAGAAATGAGTTTCTTTCTTACCTTACTAGCAAGCAAGAAAGGAGGCCATTGGATGACAGATACATCACCAGAAGAAGATGGAACAAGCAGCAAATCTCTATCTCTGGGTCACATTAAAAACAGAAAATGTTACACAACATACATGCTCCGTTGATACATCGGTTTGCTTAAAGAAAATTCCAACCTGTCACTGATCAGATCCTCACTTCGCATAGAGTAAATGAACTCATTCCACACCTGGGAAAAATTTGTGATATTCTTCTGGTCCACAAAATCATCCTACAATTCACAAAAGTAAATCTAAGGAGGAGGGAAAGAAAGAAAAGTGTAATTCTCCTTGCTATACATAAAACAAATATTTCATATACAATATTTCTCTTTGTGCTACCTCATGTTTTCTCCTCACACCCTGTTTTGATGATGGCATGAGAGTGCGGCTGAAAGCAATGGGTATCGACTCAAATCTGGACCGCAACATCCCAAGAGTACGTATCTACAAAAAACCCTAGCATGTCAACAAGTAATCATCACCAAAATTTAAACCAATCTGTGCATTCCATATTAATAATGTTATTTGAGATTGTATTTTCTCTGGGCAATTTATAACAGTTTTAAAATTTTCATGGTGTTCTGGAAACAAAACACACTTACTTCTCCCAAGTGACTGAAGGCCCCGTGTATTCCTCCAAATAGAGTGGAGAAAATAGCGTACCATATTTGAGTATCCATGATATAGACCTACTCATGATATAAAATTGTTTGAAAATAATTATGTCGCGTAGAAGGTTTTGATATAATGTTTGCTTTGTGCCTGAGAACTTCTTTAACCTCTACTTACAAGCACAATTGGAGCCCATACAGCAATAACTACTCCAATATTGTGAGTTGCTACATCAAAGGAGAAATTAGTTAGCTTAGGCATAGCACATTGTAGGGTGAAACCATGAAAAAATTAGAGCATCCGGAAAATTTACCATTCGGAAAAAATTCATGCCACTGATAGCTATGAACATGCAAACGCATAATCATCTTTGTAGGAGTAATAAGGGGCACTATCTGTTTGCAAAATACAATTTTGGTCAGCAAGGCCAAATATATATCATAGTTGGGAGACCCTAATCCAACTAGAAGTTACAAACTTGAATATTGAGACCTGCCTAAAACTCGTCAAAAACAGGATTAACAGAAAAAATGCATGTCAAATCTTGCAGAGAAGAGTTAATAAAACAAAAGTATCAAGTGAAAGAAATATGTCTATTTCAGAAGCCAATACTGATGGCATTTGTGTATTCAACTGGAGCTGGTACTGTAGGTGGTGCTAATCAAACACATTAATTTTTATGCAGTAAATTAGTATTACACAAATGCATAGTTCACATGTGTATCCAAAATTCGTATGTCAGAACAACTATTAAGTAACTCACAAAACTAAGATAAAGGAAAATCAAACCTCCACATAGTAGCTAAAGGCAAGCTTGCAGAGCAGTAGCATAATCCAAAAGGATGTATATCTGAGCATCGTGAGTTGTGTAAAGAACAGGCTAAGGGCATAAAAGATATATGAAGTATAGAGCATGGAGACAGAGATGTTTTTTACTCACTTGAAAAGAGAGAACATATCTTCATGCATACCTCTTCCAACATATAGTTTTGGCTGCCAGAAGGAAAAATCATAAGGAAACAAAGATGAACCCAAACTAATATTGAATATAGCATACTTAAATCATAAGCAGTAGTTTGATGCTTGCCTGAGCCCACCACATGATTAGCTTGATAATTTGCATATTTGAGTGCTCCATGAATCTTCGCAATGGAGGAAAGATGAACAACAAAGCAGCCAGTATATTTGGTAATATATAGAATGCAACAGAATATTTATAGAAGGACTGATTCTGCCATTCCCCAGTCCAAGTGCTAAAGAACTTTACAACTCCAGAAGGGTTTTGGACCGATTTTGAGTAAGCTATTGCTAGCAAAACTGCCCATGTAGCTGCAACTGCAAGTTTGAGGAGATACCGCAGCGTTTGAGAGAACTTAAAGCTCTTCCAGGCATTGAAACTAAGGATGATATCAAGTGCAACTGTAAGATATAGGAGGAAAAAAGAGAGGGCAAAGATCACTATTAGAAAACCAAATAAGACATATTCTGCTATAACTAAATTAGATCAGGGGACAAGAGCAACGTAAAAAAAATCAATGGAACCACAACCTTGTAAGAAATTGAGATAGGCCGCAGTAATAAAAACGGTGAGCACGGTTTTAAAAACATCCTCGTCAAAAAGACCAGCCAAAGATCCAGAAGCACTCCATGCAATGATTACCATAGCCTACAAAAAATATTTTAAGGAAAAAATCCAATAATTGGCAGCAGTCACCGAAAGAAAATAAAGAAATTCAGTTCATTCATACAAAAGTAAGACATCTTTAAATTACAATGAAATTACCTGAAAAGCCATGACAAAGAAGATCCACATTCGGCCAAAATCTCTGAAGAGATGCCAGAATGTACGAACTTCAACAAAGTCAGTTTTGGGCTTGCTTTGGCCATTAGTTGCTTGATTAGACCTCTGCAATAAGTTGAACTCAAATGATTGCGTTTCTGATATATCTCAAAATGAAAGGTCTATGTGTTGTCTAACAGGAAACATAAGAGAAAGATATATAAAGTGTCCTTTCTTCCCATTTTTTAACCTGAGCTCTTAGAATTTACATGGTGATATAAACCAACAATTTACTGCCAAAGCATGAAAGACTTTTGGAATGAAACGAAGGACTATAATCTCAGACTAGAACGCATACAACTTTCCAAATGACTGATACAAAATTTGAACTTCAGCTACATTGTTTAATAATCAAATGGAAAAGAAAGAAACTAACCTCATTTTGTGGGTTATTCTCGTCAGAGTATATGAAAAAGTCTGCATTCAGATCCAGGGGCCATCCTATCCTAAAGCATGCCCTTGACCTTTAAAAGAACAAAAATTTCAGCAATCAGACACTGGATCAAATATGCATGTGTGATTAATATTGAAGCGGATACTTCCAGCAACTCACCAAAAGTACTCATTTAAATCATCATAATTTCTCCACCTTGAGTGGCTTGCCTTGCCCCCTTTGTTCCTTCTGGCTTCCTTTACAACAGCAATCATTTTTTTGTCAGGAGATTTTATACAGTTCCAAAACAAGAAGCAACAGCACAAATAACCATAAACTTGTCTACCTTGAGTATAACTTGATAGATTGGAGTTATAACATTTCTTAAGAACGATTCTTCATCAATAATTTCTTCGGGTTCATATGCGTCGCCACTTACAGATTGAACATTGCTGAACAGAATTCCATAGACGTCATTTGCCATCTTGAAAACATCAACCAAAAAGTGGGAATGACTTTGAGATTGTACAATACTAGAAAATAGAGAACAATGGATTAATTTTGTAATCTTTCAGACTACAGCTGAGAACACTTACATTATGGAAAATATAGCAGATGCACTCGGGCATGAATCTAACATTCGAAGCCTCTCCCCATATCAAAAGATACAGAGCAATATAGATGAGCTGCAGCTGTTGTTCATCACAACCTTCCGGAAACCTTTTAAGGACATAATCAAAGAATCCAATGTCAGACACATGACGAAAGACAAGATCATGCAAGAAGTACTCGTATCAAACCTGAACTTAGCATGCAGTTAGATACAAAGCTAATGACTTACCTGAGATTAGATTTACAGTGCAAGTATTTACACCACGAGCAATAATTTTTGAAAATTTTGTCCATTAACTCCATGACAGTGCTAGATTTCAACTGCAATAACCTTACAACATTAAGAATATCAAATAAGATATGACGGAGACAATATTAAGCCAACCTATGCAAGAACACTCGCCTCATCGTAGCTTTCAGCATTTCTGTTTCTCACATCAGAGTTGGCAAGAAGCAATATTAGGTGTTCTCTCTGATTTGCTACATTCCCTCTCTTCAATCACCATGGGCAGGTTACAGGTAAACAAACATGAAGTCAGAACCAATCTTCATCAGAGGAAGGTCAACAAAGATAAAAGAGGAATTGGAACTGTCTGGATAGAAATTGTTCAAGCCTCTGGAAGTTAGGCTCAAAGCATGGTTCTCAAATCAAAATTGATTATCTCTCTCTCTTACAGAGGACACCATTAGATAATGTAAAACCTGGCAGCATGGTTTTCTACGTACAAGAGAGACGAGAAAAATGTAACATCGAAACGACACACCACAGAAGATTCACAAACAACGACATCATTCGAGCTCATTATCAATTCGTCAAAATCACTACGAATCGATGGGATACCCAAAATAGAAGGATAATGAACTTCAAGCAACACATTACCTGAAACCCAAAATTAGAAGCAAGCCATTCAAGTATATCATTGAAAGGCCGACTTCTGGCCTTAAGCTTTTCATCTGGTGCACTTGACAGCACGTGGGCTCTGACTCGAGGAAGATTATGCACATTCTGGACAGCATTGACCGCTACTTTGATCTATTTTGCCAGAGAACGGAAAACATGAGAAGAATATAAAGGAGAGTAAATAGCTTGATCCTCTCTACTGATTTCATAAAAAAATCATAATGTGCATCCATAGACCACCTCGGGAAGTTCCATAATCGCTGGTTTGGTTCCAACAGCGTATAATGGAAGAATGTTATAGTGTTCATATCTTTCCCTCTTCCGCTCGACTTCTTCAGCATATCTAAGGGTCTAAAATCACAAAGACAACCTTAAAACTCATTCAAATCTAATTACCATTTGGATAAATCTAATACGCAAATAAATCGAACCTCGTCATCCACTTTTGGGGAAGGTACAACTGTCTTCAGAACATCATACAATACAGAGGCAATTTGGTAAAGCCTAGCCATCTCCTCCCTTCAATGGAAAAAAGAAAGATGAAAATCACAAGGAGTTACGTATCACTATGCTCTGCTAACTAAAGATTGAGAAACGACTTCTCACGGTTTTCTTGATCGCTCCCCTTCTTTAATATATTTCTCATAGAAGTTCTGATAATATGCCTGAATTTCTCGGCGATCGTTTTTTGCCAGTTTAGGCTTTGTTTCTACTTCTTCCTGAAACCAATAGAAAGTGTTAGCTCCGTAATCATTTTGATCAAGTACGATATCAAAGGGATATCTTTTTTTTGCCTAACAAGAACTTGCTCCATTAGGCTTTATCAATCCATTTCACTTGCGTTCGGTGATCACCAACAATTTTGACCTTTCCGACATTAACACTGACTGCTATAAGCACAAGAAAGCAACAAGGTTATAACTGTATATACGTTGATATCTTCTTACAAAGAAAGAGAAACGGCAGCAACATGCTAAAAGAGAACTTAAGACATTTTCAAGCAGTTGTAGTATTTTCTACAAGTCCAATATTTTTGCCTTGTTTATCCAAAAACTCCAGGTTAACCTCTCCTTTTTGAAACAGTAACAAATAACAATCCGCCCCCACAAAAGCTAAAAATAGAATCAAGATTAAAAAAAAACAGAAAGGATATGAATCAAGTAAAGATATACCCTTTCCAGTCTATGTAGCAGGTAGGTCTTAAACTGGCGAACACCACGTCCATCCGATGTTGGATCCATCCTATGAGCCTTCTCAAAAGCATGGAAGCGACCTAACCAAACAGAGACACGACAAGATCAGACAGATCATCAGGTGTTGCTCTGGACATAATCAAGAAGCATGATTGCGTATGAAGAAGATGGATAATGTGTCCATGTCAAACGACAAAGTCAACAAAAGCCATTCGCAGCTATATCACGTTTGGAACTAAAAAGCGATAAAAATGGATGAGTGAACCCAAGAACAAGAATAAGGAATAACGTATAGAATCAAACGCACAGAGATAAGCAACTCTCGGATTATCCTTCTCGATCTCATTGGCAACACGGAGAATTGGAGCAATGGAAGCAAGAGAGGAAGGAACAAGCTCGCTGTCCATGGCGCTATCGTCGTCATTAGACCTCTCAATCATCATGGTAGTCGCGCGAGACGGCGTCCTCCGAGACAGCGACCGAGGCGGACCCGCCGAACCGCTCGAACTGGCCTCCATGACCGCCGCCGTGAACCGATGATCCCAGCCGCCGCCACCGTCTCCAGCGCCAATTCTCTTCCAGGAGAAGCAAAGATTTCAGTAAAATTGAAAAACCCAGAAACCATATTAGTTTATTGAACTCCTTTCGGGACTTTATATGCAAAAAAAAGATCGATAAAAGACAACAGAGAAAGAAGGGTTTTTGTTCGAAGTGATTATCTTTCTGCTTTTCTGCTTTTCCCTTGGCTTTTTCTTGCTTTTGATCTCCTTCTTTTGCCTTTTTCCTTTATTTTTTGGTTTCAGTGGACATTGAAGAAAGAAACCCTTCTTCTTCTTCGTTTGCTTAGCGAAGAAGGTGAGGGTGGAGAAGAAGAGAGACTGTGACGACTAATCTGGACAAAACTCCAACGGCTCTTTTGGTATATACATACCTTTTCTTTACCGAAAACGCGTGCTGTTCACGCGCTCTCAAACAATACGACGCCGTTTATAGCTCAGTAAAATTTTAAATTTATAGATAATTTAAATTTTAACGGTAATTTTGAAAAATCAAAACTTTTTGTAGATGCTGCTTTCATTCAATCAGCACAAGAAAAAACTTGGTTTCTTGAATATATAATTTAACCCAAGAAAAAGCGTATAAATGTAAAAAAAAAACACGTAAAAGAAACACAGAAAAAAAGTTACAGGGAGAATACACAACTGATATGAAAGGTATAATCCAATGTCTGCTTCTAACATATATGGACACAACAGAAGAAACCCAAACCCAAACCCAAACCCAAACCCAAACCCAGCATCCCACAACTACAACCGAAGACAAAGCATTTACAGATGTGATCTCTTCCATAACTACATCCTTTTTCCTGTCCTAAGGTCAGTTCAGATCAGATAACCTAACGTAAAGGGCGTTTTCGTCCTTTTACACGAGATCGAGACAGAGAAGAAGCAGGAAGCAGGAGCTTCTTCTTCTTCCTCTTCTTCATCCCTCAGCAATGCCACCATGTCTGTCTGCCACTGTTCTCTGTCTCCACAAGCTCTCATCGCAAACCCGAGAAGAGAAAAAAAGGCTTCAGCCATTCTTGCGGTGGTCGTCAGTTTTCATATGGGACTCGCCTTGGATACCTGCAGAATGTGTATTCGGCTCAACAAATGAATCTGCATTCCATTTTTTTTCTACAGGTCTTTGGCAAGAAATGTGTTACCTGGTTCTTTGACATGGTTGCAGAGGTCCAGTGCTGCTGATGCATCCCTGCAGCATCATAGTTGACGAAAGTTATCCTTCTCGGTTCTTCTTGTCTGCTCGGGGAGTTTTCCTGCGGTAAATCCCGTGTAACCCACAATACGAAAGCCGAGGGCACTGTGGAACCTGGTAACAAAATGTCCCGTCAAATACTAGACAGACTCGAGCCAACCTTCTTGAGGTGGTTTAAGACGGGAAGTAGAGACCGTAATTCATGTTCTTCACCTATGAAGTAGTACAGTATCAAAAGAATCAACGCCTCGATGCCATGTAGGTTGCTCGGGTTCCAATGATAGAAGAGCTGAGAACAGAGTTTTTGTTTCAGTTAAACAAATCAAACATAATCTTAGGTTGGTTTGAGACAGTTCTTGGCGATGATTTACCGGTATGTTTGTGAGGAAAGTGAGCAAAGCACCCACCGCAAAGCATATAACTGACACAACTGCTAAACGGGATACCTAGAAATGGGTATGCCCACAATATTAAATTAACAGTTCATGATGTTATAGCATCGATTGTGAATAAGATGATGTAGAGTTTCCGGTTATTTGATAGACAAGGTTGTGTTCTGATGAGATGGGCATGAGAAAAGAAAACCACGAGACAACAAGAATGTCCGTTACCTTCCACATCTCCGATGAAGCTTGCTCAGACCGCACCTTCTTTAGTTTATAGAACAGAATCAGACCTAAAAGCGAGAAAAAAAAAAAGCCTAGAATGAGATCTTGAAGACATTATCCTATGATAATCATTGACAGAAGCATTCCCACAAGATGCTACAGAAAAACCTTCTTATTACCGGATCTAAAAAAGACCCGGAGAAGTGATAACTCACCATAAGAACCTATTCCTCCTCCAGTGGTAAGGATCAACGCAGCGAAAATATCTACATATATCTGCAAAAAAGAATATTGACAAAGTAGCATGTTCAGTTTTCTTATTCATTGAGCATAATTTTTTTTCAAGAAAATAAAATATCAAATGTAAGCCGAGTGATATAGCACTTATTCTATAGTCACGGACTCACGGTACGATAGAAGAATACTACAAACCTGAGCAAGTAGTGAAGGATCGATGAGATTCTTGCCAGAACCAATCCAGATAAGCAATGCGAATGATATCATTAAGATGAAGACAAGGACAACTACCTAGCAAAAATGAAAAACGAAAGGAAATATCTGAATCTCATGACTAGAAAGTTATAATGATTGACTTAATTTTGATACACGGACCAAAAGGACGATATCTCATACCGCAACAACAAATTTCTGCCGGCTACCAACATGAATGCCATGGAAAGAGCAACACTTCCTATGATCACTTGTGCTCGATGAACCACCTTTGCTTTTGTTCTTCTCAAGCAATACTTGTTGAATGCTACTTTCTTCATCGTCATCCTCCTCGTCATTTCCCTGATGGCAGACATCTACCCTATAAAAGCAAAAATAATCATTGCCTTATCCATTTAAAAGGACAATACAAAGACAAAACACCAAGAAAATATTAGAAAAATGTTATCAAGGTGAGATAATCGGGGCTGGACATGGTATTAAAGATTCACTTCACAAAAGAAAATGCCGTAAAAAACGTACCAGAAAGATAGGAGCAGAAGAAAAGTTGCGAGGAATAGAATTTTGGGGAAGGCTGCAAATACAATACAACTCAATTCATTAGAGCCTAGATTAGAATTATGAATTGACACCCAAGGAGAAAAGCATAACCCTAGAAGGAAAAAGGAGAACTTACCCATAAGTAGAAATCCAAATGCATCGGTCCAATGATGCCACTTTGTACATGTTGCTATAATCGTAGATATGAAATAAATGAAATAACCTGCCAATAGATAGAATAAATATTACTCATTGGTTACAGTATGTTATCCCCGGAGAGTCCAACATCTTGTGAATATGGAACAGTAGACTCAAGAAACATTATGCTCCATCTTATCTCCATTCCTATTCGATGAACATCTAGTTTAGGTTACCCTAATGGAATGCATGATAAAGCTTTAATCCAAGATCCCTTCAAGCTTACCCGTGTTTGAAGAGCCGATCATAAGATGAAGTACCTGCAAATTCCATTGATGGGCAACACCGATCAATGTCTCAGATACAAACTAAGACAATATCACCATTAAAGAAAAGCCCACAACCTAAACCGAAAGAGGTGAGGAGTGGAAATTACTTTTTGGCGTGTCCACCCAATTCGTTTATTCCTCAGGTGAACTCGAGCAAGCTGAAATCAGGAGGCAGACAAGAAAAAGTAAGAATAAGACAAGCTTGGAAGTTCAATACCAGATCTGCCACTACTTGAAACGCTAAAACAGGTTTAAACAGTTGACCTGGAAATAATGTCAACCATTCCACATCAAGAACCCTAGAGCCTGAAATCCCCCAACCTAACCCATTAATCACCACCATTCACATCACCGAGCGCTAATATTCAACATCCAAGCAAACCCACCACAATGCTTCATCCTCAGAACAGACCTAAACGGCCTTTTGGCACAATTCTGACATTCACGTAATCGGATTCGTGTCGGGTAAAAACAAAAACACAAACACAGCAAAAAAAACCGGAATTCGAAGACCCAGACTCTGCGGAGAAGGGGATAGAAAAAAAAAAAAAAAAGGGGCACCTGAAAGAAAGCGAAGAAAGCGAGAGCGCCATCGATGCAAGCGAGAGAGAGATTGACGGCGATGAAGCTCGGAGGATAGCATCCGACCGCTCTCAATTCGAAGCTCGTCGCCGTCGTCGTCGTCGTCATCGTTCTCTTCTTCGATCGTGAGATCGAATGCAGAGATCTTAGAGATTGAAGACGCGATGGAATTAAAAAACAAGCATCGGGAGACAGATGGATGTAAAAGGATGGGCTGGGTCTGGTCTGAAAAATTTTAATATTTAATTTATTTATATATATAGGACGAATAAAAATATAAAATTAGGGACAATGATTTTTTTTTTTTTTTTTTGTAAAATGAAAGAAAGCGGTACGGCCTTTGCCGAAGAGATTCTAGAATATACTTGCTATTAATCTGGAAAAAAAATTCAAAAAGTGGGGTTTTTTTTATTTAATTTGTTGCATAGTGGCAAAAACAAAATGACAGAAGGCATTTAATTAAAGGATTCCTAAATGGCAAAAAAGGCCGTGGCTTTGGCTCTTGGACCGTTTGATAAGTTAACACCGTATTTATACAATATAAACAAAATATAATATATGCAAGTATGTAAATAATATTATAAAAAAAAGTATGTAAATAATATTTATATATGTATAGCATCTAGTGTATCTCTTAAGCGCTTTTTCTGTGTAAATGGAATCAGCATGACAAAGGCTGACGTCTAATTAGTGTAATTGGGTTGATACCATAGCCCAATGGAAAAGGGCCCAATGAAGTTGGATCTTCGTTTTCCATCCAAAGCCTCCCTTTTATACAGAGGGTTTCATCCTTGACACGTGTCATAATCCACGTGTAGGATCTTTTTTTTTAATAAATAAAAGATCTAAACAAGGCGGTTATCGAAAATTTTCCAGCCTCTCAAACAAAAAACTGCAGGAGTGGCAGTGGCGTTCTTCAGGTAATGGCATTGAATATCTTCTTGGCGTCTCTTCACCCAAATCCTTCGTCTTCCTCTTCATCTACGTCGCCTCCATCGAATCAGAGACATCGTCTGTTTCTGCAACTCTATCCCCATCCTTCTTCTGCAACCCGCGTTCGATCTGAGCAGAGCGAGAGCGGCGTCACCGACAGCGACGATCCTTCTTCGTCTTTCTCCGGTACATATCATCGATTCAATTTGCTCTGATAACTTACCTGTTCGATCGATTGATGTGCTTAGCTTTGCTGCTCAAGTTGCGTGATTATGATCGTAATCCGCAGGCCTGTTCTGTTTCGTTTCTTGTGTAATTCCTATTGGACAGAGATGTTCTTCAACTGTTTACTTCACTCTACCTAGATTATGTGTTCGAGACTTCGAGTGATTTCGGAGTTAATTGATGCGAAATCCATTGATCGAGTTCTGAAAACTATCTGTTTCTTTCTTTCCTTGAAGGTTCTTTGTCATCATCGCGCACACAGCTTGATCTCTTGGACGGTATGTGGTCACCATTTACCGCTGTCCTGCTTGCATTTGAATCCAATGTAGAACATGGTCTAATAGGAACACCCTTCTTCTGCATCTTCAGGGTACTTGAGTGATGGAATTGGTGGCTCGAGGAACCTCTCAATTCGCGACCAGCTAGCTCAGCTTGTTGCCGAGAGAGACGACAATTTCACCATTCCCTTAGGTAAAAACCTAAAGAAACTGAGTCCGAAATTCTTGACCGTTTCGCAGAAAAGGAACATTAAGAGGCAATCATACCTTAATGAAGTCTCTCAGAGGAACGATTCCGTCTTCTTTGCTACAATAGGGGCGTTTGTAATCCTCCCACCTTTTGTGATTCTGGGAATTGCTGTACTAACTGGTTATGTCCAACTCTTTCCGTAATTCACAGAAAATGCATATAGCTGTAGAGTTTTTGCTTGTATCTATTAAAGAGAGAGTGTCAAGTAATAAAATAGCTGGTATAATCTTTTGCTTGGAATATTGTTTCTACTGTGTTACATGTTTTGTTTGAATGAATCTACAAAAGAACTGAAAAATGAGGGGAAAAGAATTGTTTTCCCTGTGTTACTTGTGTACAGTTGGTCTAATACCTCATGAGCTTGATCAGCAAGAGGTTAAATATCAGCACAGTTCATGGGTGCAAACCCTAGTCTTGACCTCTTTGTGTCGTATAGTATATGGAAATTTTGCTGCTGGTAGTTGCCTATGATCGAAAAAGCTGATCTTGGAGTTCCGAGAACTGCTAGGCAGACCAAACTCTCGTCCAACCAGATGAATGTGTTCTCGACCGGGAAATTCCAGACAGCACCATCTGCGAAGGTGATCCCGAGTTCCGGAAGCTGGACCTTCCCCACCCCGGACACGTTGAAGCAAGGATCTAGAATGGGGAAATCTCTAAACACCTGGTACTTTCCTTTCAGCTTCTCTGAGAACTTGTTCTTGATAATGGTATATGCAGGTTCGGCAAAATAGCTCAGGGTTGTACCCGAATCAACGATTGTCCCTCCGGTACCATCAGACAAGATATTCCATGTCCCTTCAGGTATATTCAGAACCTCACCACCAACAAGAATGGATTTTATCTGTACATAGTAAAATGTGTCTACAGGATTCTCCTTCCCGGCCACAAAAGCAGTGAAATTCAGATTTGGATGGCTCAGCATATCCTTGTCTTCCCCTAATATCAACTTGCTACTGACATTAACATCACTATTTCTATCGACAAGGCAATAGGAAAAGGAATGGCCGTACAGAGACTGAAGCTGGGTGGAGAACGAAAGAGGCCCTCTTCCTAACCCAAGCAGGCCCGAGGCACCATGGAAGAGACCTCGGTTCCAATGTCCACACCCAAACATCACATTTTCCACCTTCTTGTACTCTGAATTCCCGCTCCCTGTGGTGAGATTAACCGTGAAAGTCTCCACCGCAAAGTCCCCGGTCGTGTTAGAGCTGTCTCCATACCAATAGAAGTAAGGGCATGATTGGTTATCCGATTTGCACGGCCGCGGAGGATCAGGCGACGAGACAAGGCTGCATCTGGGATCGCGACACGTTATGTTCGCAAAGGAAGAAGAAGCTTTCGGGTCATAGAAATCGCCGTTTTGCTCGAAACAGTCGTGGCAGGGGAGGCACTGGATCCAGTTGAGGTCACTTCCTGTGTCGAGGATCAAAGAGAAGTGCTTCGGTGGCGTGCCCACCAAAACGTCCATGAAGTATTCACCAGAACCCTGAGTCATGCCGGACTCCAGCGTCGCCACGAGCTGACCGGAGAGCTCCTCCGGAGATATACCGGAGGTAATATTCCTCTTCTTCTTCTCCACCTTGTATTGTTTATCACTCCCTCTCTGTTGCAAGAGCCTTGAGGCAGAGTTCTGGTTCTTCTTCTCCATGAGACGTTTGTGAAGAGACTGGATTCTGGTGAGATCTCTGACGTTGAGATCGAAGACGGACTTTTTCCGGTCGGTTTCTGGGTTAATCCGCCGGCGCTTAAGGTGAAGCTTCACCGGCGTTTTACCGGTGAACTCTGGGGCCCGCTCAGTGGAGGAGAAGCTGCAGTCATTGGCTGCGGCGGAAGAAGAAGAGACAGAGTTGAAACTCATCGGATCCGGGAAGTCAAACCCAGAAAGGCTGGAGATGTTCTGCTCATATTTCCCGGCCAGAGCTATGGAAAACGCCGACAGGAAGACCAAACAAGGAATGAGACAGAGCTTGGTCGACATTAGGCCGCCGACAAAAAAAAAACAAACGCAGAGAGAGAGAGATGAATGGAGAAATGGGATTGAAGGAGAAGAAGAGGAGGAGTGGGTTCAATTGTGAATTAAAGGTTGAATTGAATGAGAAACAGAAAGCCGTCTTCTTCTTCCTGCATCACGCGGTTTCAAGTTTCATTACACACACAAGAAGACCGATTCAGATGGGGCTGCACTTTAACGACCGCTGCTGGCATGCTGCTCAATAATATATATATATATA